CTGCTTCTATTTCCTTAGTGGCTATAGGTCTGTTCAGGTTTTCTGTTTCTTCCTGGTTCAGTTTTGGTAGTTGATACATCTCTAGGAATGCACCCATTTCTTCCAGGTTATCTAATTTGCTGGCATAGAGTTGCTCATAATATGTTCTTATAATTCTTTGTACGTCTTTGGTGTTGGTTGTGATCTCTCCTCTTTCATTCATGATTTTGTTGATTTGGGTCATTTTTCCTTTTAATAAGTGTGGCCAGGGGTTTATCAATCTTGTTAATTCTTTCAAAGAACCAGCTCCTAGTTTCGTTGATCTGTTCTACTGTTCTTTTGGTTTCTAGTTCATTGATTTCTGCTCTGATCTTTATTTTTTCTCTTCTCCTGCTGGGTTTAGGCTTTATTTGCTGTTTTTTCTCTAGGTCCTTTAGGTGTAGGGTTAGGTTGTGTATTTGAGACCTTTCTTGTTTCTTGAGAAAGGCTTGTATTGCTATATACTTTCCTCTCAGGACTGCCTTTGCTGTATCCCAAAGATTTTGAACAGTTGTGTTTTCATTCTCATTGGTTTCCATGAATTTTTTTAATTCTTCTTTAATTTCCTGGTTGACCCATTCATTCTTTAGTAGGATGCTCTCTAGCCTCCATGTATTTGAGTTCTTTCCGACTTTCCTCTTGTGATTGAGTTCTAGTTTCAAAGCACTGTGGTCTGAAAATATGCAGGGAATGATCCCAGTCTTTTGGTACTGGTTGAGACCTGATTTGTGACCTAGGATGTGATCAATTCTGGAGAATGTTCCATGGGCACTAGAGAAGAATGTGTATTCCGTTGCTTTGGGATGGAATGTTCTGAATATGTCTGTGAAGTCCGTTTGGTCCAGTGTGTCATTTAAAGTCTTTATTTCCTTGTTGATCTTTTGCTTAGATGATCTCTCCATTTCAGTCAGGGGGGTGTTAAAGTCCCCCAGTATTACTGTATTGTTGTCAATGTGTTTCTTCGCTTTTGTTATTAATTGCCTTATATAATTGGCTGCTCCCATGTTAGGGGCATAGATATTTACAATAGTTAGATCTTCTTGTTGGATAGACGCTTTAAGTAGGATATAGTGTCCTTCTTCATCTCTTTTTACAGTCTTTGTTTTAAAATCTAATTTGTCTGATATAAGGATTGCCACCCCAGCTTTCTTTTGGTGTCCATTAGCATGGTAAATGGTTTTCCACCCCCTCACTTTCAATGTGGGGGTGTCTTTGGGTCTAAAATGAGTCTCTTGCAGACAGCATATCGATGGGTCTTGTTTTTTAATCCAATCTGATAGCCTGTGTCTTTTGATTGGGGCATTTAGCCCCTTTACATTCAGGGTAACTATTGAAAGGTATGAATTTAGTGCCATTGTATGGCCTTTAAGGTGACTGTTACTGTATATTTTCTGTGTTCCTTTCTGATCTATGCTGCTTTTAGGCTCTCTCTTTGCTTAGAGGACCCCTTTCAATATTTCTTGGAGGGCTGGTTTCGTGTTTGCAAATTCCTTTAGTTTTTTTTTGTCCTGGAAGCTTTTTATCTCTCCTTCTATTTTCAATGACAGCCTAGCTGGATATAGTATTCTTGGCTGCATATTTTTCTCGTTTAGTGCTCTGAAGATATCTTGCCAGTCCTTTCTGGCCTGCCAGGTCTCTGTGGATAGGTCTGTTGCCAATCTAATGTTTCTACCATTGTAGGTTACATATCTCTTCTCCCCAGCTGCTCTCAGGATTTTCTCTTTGTCTCTGAGACTCGTAAGTTTTACTATTAGATGTCGGGGTGTTGACCTATTTTTATTGATTTTGAGAGGGGTTCTCTGTGCCTCCTGGAGTTTGATGCCTGTTTCCTTCCTCACATGAGGGAAGTTCTCTGCTATTATTTGCTCCAATATACCTTCTGCCCCTCTCTCTCTTTCTTCTTCTGGGATCCCAATTATTCTAATGTTGTTTCGTCTTATCGTATCACTTACCTCTCGAATTCTGCCCTCGTGATCCTGTAGTTGTTTCTCTCTCTTTTTCTCAGCCTCCTTTTTTTTTTTTTTGAATTGGCATATTTGTTTATTTCTCAATTTGTGAAAATGTCCTTAATTTGTTGATGTAGCAAACAAATTTCAACTCTGATTGCTATGCAAAAGAACAGAAGATAATCTGCTTTGCAATGAACTTTAAAGTTCAACTGCACACAGGCAACATGGTATATATGAAAAAATTACTGAACTACAGGTATTAAATACTGAAAAAAGTTAACAGTTTATTATAATTTATTTTATTTAACAATCTAGGAAGTTCACAGCCATCAGCAGTTCCAGTGCAATTTCAGGTGCAATTGGGAATTCAGGAATCTCTGTGGAGCTGTTAGTGTAGCGAACCTTGTAGGTAAAATACATGCATACTTTTGATAGCACATGTGAAGGAATCTCTCTAAAATTGACTTCATTAGTTTCGTTCTCAGCAAACTGACCTGGGCCACTCAACATGGCTTTTATTGTTCCAGATGTTAGTGCATGTTCTCTTTTTACAATAAATTCATGACCATCAGAAGATATCAATTTGACATACATGGCATGGCATCAGGGCCTTCACAGCCACCATAGGTTTTCTCTTCTCCATCCATTATGTTCTTATGAAATTCTACTTTACTTCCACAGGAACTTTAGTAGTTTCCTGCTGAGGCGAGGACGCAGTCAATCACCTGCTTCCATCAACAGGAAGTCTCAGCCTCCTTATTTTCCATCATTTGGTCTTCTATATCACTTATTCTCTCTTCTGCCTCATTTATTCTAGCAGTTAGTGCCCCCATTTTTGATTGCATCTCATTAATAGCCTTTTTGATTTCGACTTGGTTAGATTTTAGTTCTTTTATTTCTCCAGAAAGGGTTTCTCTAATAACTTCCACGCTTTTTTCAAGCCCAGCTAGTATCTTTAGTCATGATTCTGAACTCTAGGTCCGACATCGTACTAATGTCCATATTGAGTAGGTCCCTGGCAGATGGTACTACCTCTTGTTCTTTTTGCTGAGGTGTTTTCGTCTTGTTATTTTGTCCAGAGGAGAATAGATGAATGAGAGAACAAAATGCTAACAGGTTTACAACGTCCCCAGCAAATACACTGTATACAAATCAGAAAAGACCTGAAACCAGGGGAAAAGAAAGGGAAAGAAAGAAAAAAGAAAGAGGAAAAAAAAGATAAAAAGAAAAACAGAACAATACAAAAAAAGCAAAATATGATCAGGCTAGTGCATAGATCAGTGCCACACACTAGATTTTGGGCGCATTTTGGTCTGTTAGAAAAAAGTGCCTCCTAAAATTTTAAAGGAAGAAAGACATATATGTACAAAATAAGGGTTGATACAATGAAGGGATGGAAGATGATTGTAAAGATGAAAATTATAAAAGATTTTATAAAAGGAATTAAGAAGTTGTTTGAAAAAAGAAAGAAGTTTAAAAAAAAAAAGGAGAGAATGTGATCAGGCAGGAGACTAGAACAAAGCCATACACTAGTGATTTAGGGTATATTTTGATCTGTTAGAAGAACCTCTATCTCAAAATTTTAAAGAGAGAACAACTTACATATATATGCCAAAAATAAGGGTAACTACTATGAAGGGATAAAATAGGACTCTAAAAATGAAAAATAAAAAATGTTTTTTTTAAAGAAGCAATTGATGTTGGTTGAAAAAGGGAAAAAGAAAAATTTTAAAGTTAAAAAAAATTAACTTTGATGAACTAAGGAATCATGGTAAAAAAAAAAAAAAAACCCATGAATTCTATGTGCAATATTCCCCTAGCGCTGGAGTTCTCCTGTTCTCCTTGATGGGTAAACTTGGTCTTGGCTTTGCTGGCTGTTCGTGCTGATCTTGGGGGGGGGGGGGGCCGGTGCCATGGTTCCCAAATGTCTTTGCCGGAGGCTGAATTGCCCCGCCCTTGTCGGTCCGGGCTAAGCAAGCTGCTCCGGTTTGCTCTCAGGAGCTTTTGTTCCCTGCACGCTCTCCGTACAGCCTTGGAGGACCAGGGCAGAAATGGTGGCCTCCCAGTCTCCACCCGGAGGAGCTGAGAACTCGGGGCCCTGCTCCTCAGTGCGCCCCCAGAGAAAAGCAGTCACTCCCATGTCCCAGACCGCACTCCGTGCTCACCTGGCCTGTGACCAAGCGTTTGTATCTCTGGCACCCGACCCTGTGTGGAGTCTCCAAACCCAGCAGATCCCTGCGGTGCGTTCCCGCGCCGCTCCTCCCGGGGGAGGAAAGGGAGTCTCCCTGGCTCTGCCGCTTGTTGGGTCCCTGCTGGAGGAGCAGTGGCCCGACTGGGCCGCGGATCACAGTTTATGGCAACCCCGAGCTGAGAGCCCGTGCCTCGGCTCCGTCTCTGCAGCCGGCTTCCCTGCTCCGATACCTGGGAGCTCTGCCGCACTCAGGCTCCCCCGGTCTTTCTGTGACCCCAAGGATCCTGAGACCACACTGTCCCAGGAGGATTCCACCCCCCACTTAGCCACTGGAGCAACGTCCCTCAGCGGAGCCGACTTCTAAAAGGTCCGATTTTGTGCTCCGCGGCTCTATCACTTGCCAGAAGCCGCCAACAGAGGCCCCCTCCCCCGCTGTCTGTCCTCCCGAATATTGCCTCAGATTCACTTCTCCGCACGTCCTACCTTCCAGTAAGTGGTCGCTTCTCTGTTCAGAGAGTTGTTGCTACTCTCCTCTTCGATCTCCTGTTGAGTTCGTAGGTGTTCAGAATGGTTTGATCCCCATTCAGCTGAATTCCTGAGACCAGACGAAATCCAGGTCTCCTACTCCTCCGCCATCTTGCTCTGGCCCTCCAGTTTTTTGATGTCTCTATGAACATATACTGAGCTTCAAAATTTTGTTTCTCTTATGTATGTAGTAAGAAGTGGGAAAATTTAAAAAGACCAGCAGAATCAGCATTTACCTGAATGTCTTAGTCTTAACTTATCTTGAAAAGTATTTTGATCTAGTTTATTAATACTGTTCTTTATTTTAATTATTCCAGAGGCAGCAGTTGGGGACAGCTGTAGAATTGGAAATGGCCAAGATGCTTGAGGAAAATACGAACATCCTTAAATTTGGATATCAGTTTACACAGCAGGGACCCCGTACCAGGGCGGCTAACGCTATAACAAAAAACAATGACTTAGGTAAGGCATATGCATTTCAAATCAAATTTCTGAATTGTATCATTAAACTAATGTATTAGAGGGATTTTTTTTTTTTTTTTACAATAGATTTCAACACAGATTTTTGGGCCTTTGTTTTTAAAATCTGCACAGTCCTTTTTATGTTGATTGAATTAGAGTTCAGTTTAAGCGCAGTTGTAGTGATTACTGGGTTCATAGGGGAAATCTTCTGTCACAAAGATTTCACAGCTTTAAGCAAACAGTTTTCTACCACAAACATAGTATAAATGCTTCCTGGAACAAAAGTTGTGTTCTCAGTTACAAGTCTCCTCTTGGAGCTAGTAAAGATTTCAACATTTCAGGGAAGTTTTTTACCCTTTTTATCAAACAGGCCTAGATAGAAATTCATTTTTACATGATAAAATATGGATTATAGTTTTGATCCAAGTTGTATAGTGTGTGGCACATAAGTGTCTGCTGTCCTTTCCGGCCTCCCTGACCCAGCTATTACTGGGCAGCTTGTCTTCTCGCCGCACACGTCGGTCAGTCAGAGGTTGCCCATTTTTTCCCAGTTCCTACTGAAAATACTGCTGAAACTTGTGCTTGTTTGAAATAAGTTTTCCAGCCAAGGCTGAATTAAAGAATATGATGCTTGTAATTTTGTTTCTACATGTTTCCGATAATTGACTCTTCCTTTAAGTTTGGTGTTTGTCATTGAAATATTTTTTAAAGATGTGTTTAGAGAGGAATTAAAATAAGACTTCTTAAAGGGAATAACACTTCAAAGTGATGCAGTTCTTTTAAGCTTCAGCCATATTCGAGTTTGCATTCTTTAAAGGTTTCTAAAGCAGAAAAGTTACAGCTTCCTTCCCTCAACCCAAATTACTATGAAGAGTATTAGTTCAAACCCTTTCTGTCTGTCCTTTGATGACTTAGTTTCCCAGAGAAGATTTTAGCCTCTTGCATTTTAGAAAATTGGTGTGTTCGGTGTACTGTTGATTCTCAGTGTAATTTGCAAAGTCATGCTAATTACATCGAGAATGAACAGTATACCAAAAGATGAGAGAACACATGAAAAGTCCTTCCTGGGCTGCTTTATGTTAACACTGTGCAGCTGAGTAGGTGTCCATGGCCACATGTGGTAGAGGGTGAGGAGGCCAATGTTGAAGGTGTGGTCTGACGTGAAGCCAAAGTGAGAGAAAGCAAAAGCTTTCTGTGGGTACCTCTGGAGACCCCCGCCTCATGCTCTTTCATCCTGAGCCAAGCCAGAGTTTCAGACATGAAGTGAGAGGGGAAGTGCATGGATAAAAGCCCCCATTTGGGATCCAGCTAGTTGTTGATATGCTGAGGACAGTTTGCAGATTGTGAAAAGGGACTCATTGCAGGCTGCTGCCTCCAGAGTAAACTCGCAGTAAGTACTTGCTGCTGGAAGCTAACACAATGAAAAAGTGATGTCAGCAGATTAAAAGGCAGTGCTGGTAGGAGGCACTAAAATGAAATGGGAAGAAACTTAGTTCCTTTGGATTTGTTTGTGGGAGGCATCTGAGAGCCATTATTGGCCACTGAATTCATGATTAAGATGATACTTAAAAAATACTATTTTTTATTCTAGAGATTGGATGTCAGGTTGGGACTTACTTGCAGTTGATCATAAAGTATTGAGAACTTCTTTTAGTGGAGTCGGTTTTGGAAAGAAATTGCCAAAGAATTATTAATAGGTGTGGTGTCTGGGTGGCTCTGTCAGTTAAGCGTCTGCCTTCGGCTCAGGTCATGGTTCCAGGGTCCTGGGATTGAGTCCCGCATCCGGGCTCCCTGCTCAGTGGGAAGCCTGCTTCTCCCTCTGCCTGCCGCTCCCCCTGCTCATGCTCTCACTCTCTCTCTGACAATAAATAAAATCTTTTAAGAAAAATGAATTGTTAATAGGGCCAAATTTAAGAGCCTCTCATCTAGCAGCTGAACCGAGGAACTGCTGGTAGCAAGTAGGCACTGAGTGAGGAAGAAGAGTCCGGCCTGGCTGTTGTCCCTGTCTTCTGCTGTGTGTGCTCCCAGCACCCTCTGCCCTACGTGTCGGTCTCGGCGCACAGGTCAAGGCCACAAGCGTCAAGACCCTGTGTTCATACCGGCAGTCTGACATGGAGCCGCCAGAAAGACCTCACAGATCAAAACTTGAAACGTAGAATCTCCGGGGCATCTAGTTTTCCTTCACCTTGCACATGGGGCTATATCAGATCTTTAGTGTTGATTCTGATGTCTTACCTCTCATTGTTTCCTGTTCCTGGAAATAATCCTACCTACTGCCATCTCTCCAGCTAAGAAGCATCCTAGCTGTGACCAGCAGAGAGGGTCCACGGCACACATGCACTATTTGCTTGAACTCTGAATCTCCTATTACTGTCCGCACACCAGCTAACCGCATCATTTCCAACCTTTTTTGTCTGCTCTCTTCTGTCACAGACATCCTTTACATGTGTTTTTTATGACATGCATTTTAACACCTGAAATGGTCTGCCAATAATCTCCAAACCCTGCTGCAATTCAGCATTCTCTTGGAAATGTTCTACCCTGAAGGGTAATCTGGTCTTTCAAGAAAGTATTTCTGTATTTTTCAGAGATCTGTATATATGAATAAGGTTTGTATTTGAGAACTCAAGTCTCTACTTGATTTTCTTCCCTTAATATTTCAGTAAACACGTAAGACTTGTTTTCGTTAACATGGACTAAAATTAGAGTGAAGGTTGCACTTAATTAGCTAAGTATAAAAATGCTCATGGGAGCTTGATACTTCAGTTCTCCTGGTTTTTGCTTTCTTGCTAGCACCCAGCCAATGACTGGACAGGCTTTTATGCACATCACTTGAATGTCTGCTTGAAGACCCCATCCTACCGTCACTGAGTACGGCCTACTGGTTTGAGGTCACCAGTCTGCAAAGCGGCTGGGGCTCCTGAGACCTCTGCACCTTTCTTTTGCTCCATCCACTGAACTAGTTGACCGAGCACTTTGGTGGCCAGAGTCTATTATGGCCGCCGGGTAGGACTTTACCGCCTGACTAGGGTCTGAGACGTCCGTTCCTTTGCATTTTGTCGTTTTGTTAGAGCCTGGTTCTTTTTTTTTTTTTAATTTTTTTATTGTTTTGTTAATCACCATATATTACATCATTAGTTTTTGGTAAGCCTGGTTCATTTTGTAGGAGACACTAGAAGGAAAATTTGGAAAGCAGTAGCAAGTCATTTACCTCTAAAATGACAGAAATGTTTTCATCACGTTCTTTCACAAACTAAGGAAATGGGTTATGGTGCCTCGATCGTTACTTTTAATACTTTCTAATCCCAGCTGTCAGAATGTGACTTCAAAATTTAACACAGTAATTTATAAGGCATTGTCTTAACAGGTATCAATTTTTTTAATAACAAATGAGATGGGTGCAGCACCGTGAAGGTGGATACAGAGCAGTTTAGATTTCTCCCACTCCTGGGGGAGCTCACGTGAGCTGAGGACACGTGGTTCGCATTTCGAAGCCCCTCAGTTCTCAACAAGTAAATGGCAATGATGCAGGATGCAAATTTTTTATTTTAATGGCCCTGTGAACAAATGGACATTTCATCTCTGTACAACTCTAACGGATCATACAGAAACTTGTTCCTTACTAGGAAGTTAACATTGTACAAAGTAACCGAGATTTCTAATACGCTTTTTTTTTCCCCCCTCACAGTTCGCAAAAGACGAGTTGAAGGAGACCACCAGTAAGTCCACCAAGATCCAATCTTTGGGAGACTTGAAGGGTTCACCAAGAGCTCATGGTGGTGATGTCAGATGTAACATTTTCCTGGGTAGAAGGGAAAAGACTGGAAATCTTTTTTTTTTTTTTAAACTACATGTATCTTTTTTCTAGTTTACGTTAACAGTTTCAAACTGTAAAATCAATAGGTGGTATTTTGTAACATTTTTTTCCTGCTAAAATCAATTTTAATTTAGCTTAATTAAATGGTTTGTGATGAGTCATGAGTTAAGTACAATTGTGAAAGAAGTTTAGGAAATCATTTATGTAAAATACTATGAACATTTTAAGGACCAATCTTTTTTAAATCAAAAAGGGACCTGACGGATACGAGAATTGCTGTTGCACCTGTTAGGTAGAAGACCCTCATCAGCTTTCCTTCCTTATCCCGTTGCATGGAGCCCTTGCCGTGTTTTAGAATACATGAACTTGGCAAGAGTGTGCTTTCCATTTCTATCAAGAAAGCAAAATGCCAAAAATTTTAAAACCGATGACTCAAGATCTGGTCCTCTGTTCAGGAGTACCAGCCCATCTTTGGGGGAGAGAAAGGGGCCTCCTGCACATTCCAGGTCACCACACTTGTCTGATGGGTGTGAGTCGGCAGCACCTAGACTTGTTTAAACAAAGTCGTCAGCTTGGCCGGGTTCCGTACTTTAAAAGTATAGTTATGTCTAAATTCATTATAGTTTTTAATTGGGCATTATTAAATTTTTGTGAAAGCTCATAATAAAAAGCATCTATACTGTAAAGTAAATGAACAACTGGCCTGTGTATGAATTAGCTGTTGCACAGCATTGGGAATTTGTGTGCACACGACAGAATTGCATAGATGGTCGTGACTCGGCGCTCGCTACGAACTGTCCAACCAGTAAGGAAAACTGTCCTTCATAAATCTAATGTTTATTACATTTCCTTTCATCTTACACTTTCTTGTCCACATTGTATAAAAGTAATCTCTCGTGAGAAAAGTGTCTTCCTACTGCTGATGCTCAAGGTATTCAAATGAACACGCGAACGGTGTGCCCTGGTGAAGGCTGCGTCCAGCGCAGGCAGGGCAACAGGGGATTGGACCTGGACTCCGGCCCTGTTTCGGGGCAGCCCCTGGAGAAGATGGCGGAGACCATCCTGACCTCCAGCATTCAGGCCTGGCTAGATGATTTACAGGGAATAAAGGGAAGAATCCCATTTAAGAGTAGGGGAGAGGTCTGTTGATTCCTTAACGAAGAGTTTTTGAAATTGAATTACAAAGTGTCCCTCCTTTGGCTTGGGCTGGACAGTTTACTCAGTGAGCCACGGAGCGTCTTGTGTGCTCTGGTAATAAGCCTTCTCAACAGGCGAAAGCTTTCCTTTCAAGAACTGGTGGTCTTTATTTTTTCGGAGTCAGTATCGGTGTTTTAAAGGTGCCAAAGATTGACTTTGCACTATTCCCGTTCAGTTAGAGACCACTGATATTTTTTTTTTCCAAGTTAGCAAGTGTTTCTATCTTCTTTTCATATACAACTTTGGAAATCTACTTGATTTTAGAGACTGCTCACTTGCCGCAGGGTGGGGAGTGAGCGTGCAGCAAGTCTTTAAAGGTCCCCATCACACCAACAGCAAGGCTTCCTTGCTTGCACTGTCCTGTAAGTCAGTGAATTGAGAAGTATGCTACCCCTTCTACCGTAAGTTTTCTTTTTTTAATAGGTAGGTGGGGCCCTACCCAGTATGTGTATCATACTTATGGGTAGTATCTTTTTCATTTATGACTTACTGAAGTATGAAGAAGTGTTTTGCTTGTAACATTCCAGTTCTGAGCTATGACAGTTATATAATTGAAGGAAACATTTTTTTTCATAAATATCTTTAAAGACCATTCATCCAACTGAATACAGAAAATCAATTATAATTACAAGGGAGAAAACTGGTGTTTACTTTGATCTTTAAAGTTCTGGCACCTCCTAACCTTTTAGTAACTTACAGTATTTCTCTATAGCTTTAAAATGTTATAATAGATTAGGGATCTGAAATAGTCTTGATTTTTAAACCAAAGATTTTCTAAGGCCTTAAAACATTCTGTAGGCTAACCAATTTAAACTTATCTGGTTATCTAATCAAAGAATATTTGCATTTTTTAAATTGCTGTTTTTAAAAATCTTAATTTCCCATTTTGTAAAATTTTACATTCATATTTGAAGTTGATTTTGCAAGTATGTCTACATGAAATTGTACGTATTGAAGAAAGCAATGTTAATAATACTGATATTATTAAAATGAATTTTGGTGCTATAAACTTGTAGCTTAAATCTAGTAGAAGTCTTTAGTTGAAATACGTTTCGTAAGGGTGCCTGTCATTTAGAAGACCAAATAAACATTTTGTTTAAAAAAACTAGCAGATTGTTAGAGATTTCAAGGAGAATTATCTCGCTTATGACATTGCAAATTCCTGTTATTTGAATGAAGTAACCCACATACTCACTTTGTGCAACAGGTGCACTCTGGAAAAGTTACATGTAAATAGAACTTTGTAAATTGTTCCTTTGACAGTATCTGATGTATTTTCACTTAAAAAGGGGATTCCGTGGTATAATAAAAATTATAAAAGAAAAACGTTTTGATAAAATGTTAGTCATGTCCTATTCGTACAGTATATTTAATCCTTGCTGCCATTAAAGCAAGATGAGAAGGCTCATGAGATTGCATGCATTCTGCTAGTTTTCGTTCTGTGCTCGCAGGGCATGTCTCCCTGGCCCGTACGGCGTCGGGCAGCACGGGCCCCTTGCCGGGGCCAGAGGGTGGCTCGCTGTCCGGGGGCGCCCAGCAGCTCCCTCTGCGAGTTCAGTCCTGTCCTTTGCCCCTTCACTCATCGGAAACAAAGTTTTTCTAATATTGATATAATTAACCTATAACTTTGTTTTAAAGGTAGACAACAGGATGTGACATACATATATATCATGAAATACCTGCCCTGAGTTTAGTTAACATCCGTCAGCTCACACAATTAAAAACAATGACGGATTTTTCCTTGTGATGAGAACTTTTAGAATCTACTCCCTCAGCAACTTCCAGATCTGTAACACGGTATTGTTAACTAGAGTCACCATGCTGTTCCCCGGGACTTACTCATCTTCTAACGGGAAGTTTGTAGCTTTGACCACCTTCACCTGTGTCCTCCACTCCCCACCCCTGCCTCTGGAAACCACCTGGCTAGTCTGTCCCTGAGATCAGTGTTTTTAGATAGCCATATAAATGCGATCATAAAGTAAAGTATTTGTCTTTCTCTGGCTTAGTTCACTTAGCATAACGCCCCTTCGGCCACTTCACTTGTGCATAGTATTAGCTGAACACAAGGCACCCACGGAAACCAAACACACAGATGTACCAGAACCACTACTATTGCCCTCGGACAAGGGTGTGAGTTCTTGGGCCTAACCATCTATTGAACTGTCTCCTGTCCACTCTCACCGAGCATGCATGTTTCTAGATCATTCTCACAAGACTTGCTTACCAAAGAAACGCTTCACTATTTTTAAATTGAGAAAATGTTTTTATAAGCAAAGATTTTTATATTTTTGTCATTTTTATTTGGTTATTCTTCTGCATTAGAATTCAGCTCCATAAGTCTAATACTCAAATACTACTAATATGAAATATACTTAAATATTAAACGACTCATAATAGTGAAGTTTCTTTTGAAGACTGTACTATAGGCATTTAGAACTTACCACGTCATACTGAGGTAATTTCAATAAAGTTTATCAAATATTCTATAGACTTGGACTTTTTGAAATATCCCTTTAGGTATGTTCTAAACTTATATCTTACATACCCGTTCAGGAACAAGCTTATTTCCTATAGTTACTCTAGCCCAGTCTATTAATTACATTAAGCCATATAAAATTGTCACTACTTGACCATTTTTATCCATAAAAATAGTAATTTCACATGGTTGAAATACCATCGGTTCTTGGTCTGGTCCGGCCATAAAGGTGAATTGACAAATGTGAAGAAACAGAATCCTATGGACCTGATGGGAGCCAATCCTACTAATAAACGAAAGATGATTTTTACAGCAATTCAAAGACCTCTCTTACCAGTCACCCGAATCCACCAAGCAATAGAGAAAATCTGAGATGTGTTCTAATGGTTTGAGGAAGCTTTTAGGGGTAAGCGTCAAATAACTTAAAAATTTCACAGTTCTGAAACGTAGGGGAATGAAGACTTTCCCGTTGCATCTTTAATGTTGGCCGGCCTTCCAAGGATGGCTATTGGGCTTCCTTTCTTCTGCAGGAGGTCTGGATGCCTGTCCTCCTTGGAAGGAAGGAGGCTAGGCACCTCCAGCTCCTGTGAGTCTGCGTGGCCCTGGGGAGACAATGGGGCAGCGCAGCCAAAATGCACAAAAACCTAAGACCCAGAGCAGTTACCAAAATAAGCTTCTTGTCAGGGAAAAATGGATTTTCTAAAGTCACAGACTCTTGCTTCTGAACATTTTTTATTCACAACTAGGATTATGCAAAGGCGATTCAACTCATCATTTCAATCAAAACAAGTCATGTCATCATTGCTTTAAAACAAACTGTTGAAAACAATATACAGTTGACTCTTGAGGAACGGGGTTAGGAGGGCCAATTCCCTGCACAGTTGAAAATCCGACTATCAATTTACCTCCCCAGAAACTTAACTACTAATAGCTTACTGCTGACCAGAAGCCTTACTGAGGCTGTTGACTAATACCTGTTTTGCTTGTTAAATGTATATAATAAAGTTAAAGAAAATTTATTAAGAAAACCATAAGGAAAGAGCGCCTGGGTGGCTCAGTCGTTTAGTGGCTGCCTTCGGCTCAGGTCATGATCCCAGGGTCCTGGGATCGAGCCCCACATCGGGCTCCCTGCTTGGTGGGAAGCCTGCTTCTCCCTCTCCCACTCCCCCTTGTGTTCCCTTTCTCGCTGTGTCTCTGTCAAATCTTTAAAAAAAAAACAAAACAAAACCATAAGGAAGAGAAAATAAATTTACAGCACTGTACCATATTTATCAAAAAAAAAAAAAAGGCTGTAAGTGGACCCGTGCAGTTTAAACCTGTGTTCCTCAAGGGTCAGTACAATGTATACAATGAGGGCACATTTCATACTTCAGTCGTTTTCTTCCTCTTCACCCCCCACTTTCCTCTTTCCAGAGGCCTCAGCTCCTGAACAGATACAAGAAATAAGATGTAAAATTCAATATCAAACGTTTCTAGAAATTTTGTCTACATTTGTTCTGAGCTATCCTCAACAAAATACGAGCAAACCAAATCCAACAATAAATTTTAAAAAATCATTCACCAACTGATCAAGTGGAATTTATTCCTGGGTTGCAAGGGTGGTTCAATATTTGCAAGTCAGTCGGGACACCTGGGTGGCTCAGTTGATTAAGCATCTGCCTTCCGCTCGGTCCTGGGATCAAGTCCTGCATCGGGCTCCCTGCTCAGCGGGGAGTCTGCTTCACCTTCTGCCTCTCCCCCCTGCTTGTGTTCTCTCTGTCAAATAAATCTTTAAAAAGTATATTTGCAAGTCAATCAATGTGATACATCACATCAATAAGAGAAAGGATAAGAATCATATGATTGTTTCAGTTAATGCAGAAAAAGCATTTGACAAAGTACAACATCCATTCATGATAAAAACAAGTTTAGAGGGATTGTACCTCAATGTAATAAAGGCCACCTATAAAAACTCACAGCTAACATCATCCTCCTCAATGGGGAAAAATTCAGAGCTTTTCCCCTAAGCTCAGGAACAAGACAAGGATGGCCACTCTCACCACTTTTATTCAACATAGTACTGGAAGTGCTAACCTCAGCAGTCAGACAACAAAAAGAAAGAAAAGACATTCAAATCAGTAAGGATGAAGTATTAACTTTCAGTATTTGCAGATGACATGACACTGTATATAGAAAACCCAAGACTCCAAAAAGCTGCTAGAACTGATATACAAATTCAGTAAAGTTGCAGGATCCAAAATCAATACAGAGAAACCTGTTGCATTTCTCTACACCAATAATGAAGCAGCAGAAAGAGAAATTAAGGAAACAATCTCATTTACAATTGCACCCAATATAATAAGATACCTAGGAATAAACCTAGCCAAAGAGGTAAAAAAAAAACAAAAACAAAACTCTGAACTCTGAAAACTATAAAACACTGATGAAAGAAAGTGAAGAGGTCACAAAGGGAAAGCCATTCCATGCTCATGGATTGGAAGAACAAATATTAAAATGTGTATACTACCCAAAGCATTCTACACTTTTAATGCAATCCTTATCAAAATACCAACAGCATTTTTCACAGAAGTAGAATAAATCTAAAATTTGTATGGAACCACAAAAGACCCTGAATAGCCAAAGCAATCTTGAAAAAGCAAAGCTGGAAGCATCAGAATTCTGGACTTCCAAGTTCTGTTACAAAGCTGCAGTAATCTGAACAGTATGGTACTGGCACAAAAACAGACACACGGATCAACAGAATAAAAACCCAGAAATAAACCCACAACTATATGGTTAATTAATCTTCGGCAAAGCAGGAAAGAATATCCGATGGGATAAAGTCTCTTCAACAAACGCTGTTGGGAAAACTGGACAGCTACATGCAAAAGAATGAAACGACCACTTTCTAAATTCAAAATGGATTAAAGACCTAAATATGAGACCTGAAACCATAAAAATCCTAGAAGAAAGCACAGGCAGTAACTTCTCTGACATTGGCCATAGCAATTTTTTTTTTCAAGATAGGTCCCCTGAGGCAAGGGAAACAAAAGCAAAAATGAACTATTGGAACTTCATCAAAATAAAAAGCTTCTGCACAGCAAAGGAAAAACAAAACTAAAAGGCAGCCTACTAAATGGGATAAGCTATTTGCAAATGACATATCTGATAAAGGGTTACAAATAAAGAACTCGTACAACTCAGCATCTAAAAACCAAATAAACCAATTAAAAAATAGAAGATATGAACAGACATTTCTCCAAAAAAGACATCCAGACAGCCAACAGACACATGAAAACATGCTCATCAGCACTCACCATCAGGGAAATGCAAGTCAAAACTACAATGAGCTATCACTTCACACCTGTCGGAATGGCTAAAATCAAAAACACAACGTGTTGGTGAGGATGTGGAGAAAAAGGAACCCTCTTGCACTGTTGGTGGGAATGCAAACTGGTGCAGCCACAGTGGAAAACACTATGGAGGTTCCTCAAAAAGTTAAAAACAGAATTACCCTGTGATCCAGCAATCACACTACCAGGTATTTACCCAAAGAATACAAAAACACTAATTCAAAGGGATACGTGCATCCCTATGTTTATAGCAGCATTATCTACAAGAGCTAAATTATGGAAATAGCCCAAGTGTCCATCGCTAGATGAATGGATAGAGAAGATGTGGTATATATACACTGGAGTATTACTCAGCTGTAAAGATGAATGAAATCTTGCTATTTGTAATGATGTGGATAGAGCTAGAGAGTATAATGCTAAGTGAAATAAGTCACAGTAAGACAAATACCTTAGGATTTCATTCATGTTAAATTTAAGAAACCAAAAAAATGAACAAAGGGAAAAAAATAAACCAAGAAACAGACTCTCAACCTTAGAGAACAAACTGATGGTTACCAGAGGGGATGGGGGAGAGGTGATAGGTGATGGGGATGAAGGAGGGCACTTGTGATGAGCACCGGGTGTTGTACAGAAGTTTGAATCACTGTATTGCACACCTGAAACTAATATAACACTGTATGTTAACTAACTGGAATTAAAATTAAAATTTAAAAAAAATAATAAAGTGGTTCTGAGCTGATGCGGGAGCCAGCCCTTCACATCAGGAGGCTACCCCCCAGGAGCAACCCATGTCCACAGACACTGTCTCTAGCCAGTCAGGCCCCACGAATCTGGGCTTCCCCAGGCAGCAGTCAGGGCAGAAGAGATGCTTCCTGCTCACTCCATACTGACTGACGTTCCAATCATATTACTTGAAATACATTCCCCTGCTTCCTCACTATTTCACATTTTTAATCTAAAATTCAGTATTTTTAAAGCCTGTGGGTTTTTAAAAAGGACTGCTTGCATTTTATGTGCTTTCTTAGTATACTTTTGAAGTTTTATTTTTTTTTTAAAGATTTTATTTAGGGGCGCATGGGTGGCTCAGTGGTTAAGCATCTGTCTTCGGCTCAGGTCATGATCCCTGGGTCCTGGGATCGAGTCCTGCATCGGGCTCCCTGCTCAGCAGGGAGCCTGTTTCTCCCTCTCACTCTGCTGCTCCCCCTGCTTGTTCTCTCTCTCACTCTCTCTAATAAAAAAATAAAATATTTTTTAAAAAATAAAGATTTTAGAAAGAGAGAGAGCAAGTGGGGGGGGGAGAATCTCAAGCCGACTCCACACTGAGTATGGAGCCCTACTTGGGGCTCAACCTCACAACCCTGAGATCATGACCCAAGCCGAAATCAAGAGTCAGATGCTCAACCGACTGAGCCACCTAGGCGCCCCTAACATTTTAAATATATATATTTTAAAGATTTTGTTTAAATATATATTTTTATATGAAAAATGAATGCCTCCCTCAGGTGACTCGTGCTTAACTGACATGCTTAACATTTGTTACTGTGATGTTACTGTTACCAATCTGTGACTCTAAACCTAGAGTAAAGCATATTAAACATTCAGAAAACAGTGAATCAATTAAATAGTGTGTGGTCAATAATATAGTGATTCCCTGTATATTTAAGACTTAAAATGTATTTGTACTTACGACATAAGTGGAAAAGGAAATAATTAAAGGGAAAGTATTTTAGTAATGTGAAAATGGAATAACCCTCAATTACTATTACACCCAAACAATAAAGATGCCAGGTTACCACGAGGACCATGGTATAGCCCTTGCTCTACCACACTGAATTACTTTCGGGCGTGGTGGTGCCTCAGGGCCCCGCACGTTTTCTCACAGGACTTTCCATCCTCCTCAGACGCCCACCAGGCCCGTGTGCCCTGCAAGCTAACACCTTCTTCCACACCCAGCGAGAGGTCTCCTCTGAGCAGCCTTCCAACTCCCGCCTGAGCACAGGGGTCAGACCCTCCTCTGGCCGCTCCCGCTCCTGTCACTGCATTTACCTCACTGACTTCCAGTGAAGCCTACAGACATCTGTGCTCCTGGGCTGGGAGCTACTCTTCAGTCCAGGAGTTGGCTCCTGGGTTCAGAACAAACCCCTTAGAGTTGAATAAACTTGGTTCTACCTCATCACTGATGAGTTTCTTTGCTCTTAGGAATCTTTAAGCCTTTTCTTCTGATCTTTCATCGCTGTCTGAAGAATAGATTCTGGCTCGTTCCTCTGAAAGCAAAGGAACTTCAGACATGGGACTGACCCTCAAAGATGAAGACCTGTTTATTCCTGAGTTTTTCTCCTGAATGTTGTTGCTTCCCACTTTACATTAATTATCCCTTCTGGAGCCAACAACATTTTTAAAGTTTTTTTTTTTTTTAATGATTTTATTTATTTATTTGAGAGAGAGAGAGAGAGAGGGAGGGAGGGAGGGAGGGAAAAAGAGGAAGAGCACCATGGGAGAATGAGAGCGAGAAGCAGACTCCCTGCAGGACTCATGACCTGGGCTGAAGGCAGACGCTTAACTGACAGAGCCACCCAGGCGCCCCAACATTTTTAAAGTTTTGATGAGAAGGTATATATAACTGTCAGACATGCTGAAATGACTTCGATTTGGGAGGTTTTGTTCTGAAAGCGTCATCACTTTTGAACACCCAAGAGGTTTTATGTACACATTAAATACTACAAAGTTTAAATACTGGGTCAACTACATAAGCAGGCAAACTGCTCATTACCACATTTTCCTCCATAAGGACATAAGTTATGTAATTAATTTTATTTGGGGGTGCCTTATTTTCCCAGCTAAGCTTTTCTGTGGGAAAGTGGCCCCAACAAAAATAGTAAAAATAAAAGGCCTGCGTACTGTTGCCCTAAGTAAATCACAACAGGGCAAGCCTCTGCAGCCCTCAGATGAGACGTGACCTCCATGCCCAACTCACCTGGGAGCTCCCCTTGGCAATGGTTTTTAATGGCTTCGGCGTCTTCCTCCTCCTCATGGGCACTGTTAGGGTCCTGGTAGGGGGCACTCAGCCCCTGCTGGTCCTGCTTCTCCCATAGACGGGTGGGCTCGTGAGTAGAAGCCCTCAAACGTTCTTCTTTCTGTAAAGAAGGAAATGAACTTTTTAACTGAAAAAACTAACTACCTTTGTGCCCACTTGGACCTACGTTTACTACATTTCTTGTTTTCAGAGAACAGTTCTCCCCGTCCCACCCCTGTTACCACACACAGCCGGCAGTCGGTGCAGTTTAGTTCTAAGGCATGAAGGCGGCACAGGGGGGCGGAGCAGAACACTCCCTCGCGCTAACTGCCCCATCAGAACAGGCCCAGACGCGGGCGTTGGGAGCTGCATTGGGAGCTGCATGCCGCCGTCCCCCCTGTGGCCCAGTCAGAGCCCAGAGAGCAGCAACCAGCCTGAGGAACCTCAGCCGTGCCCGGTGGACACGTGAGGGAGGCTGTGTCTGCCGACCCCTGAGACAGATACCCGGCTCGCTCGGGCTCCACCGAACTACAGTGGTGCCCAGAGGTTCCTATCCGGGCCCCTCCCCGCAGAGAGCGTCCCCAGAGCTCCCGATGACAGGATGGGGAGGCGCTGGTAGGGGAGGGTCCCTGAGCCCCAGAGCAGAACAATCACACCCTTCCTCCGCCTGGCAATCCACGCACTGGTGTTCACAAGGCAGAGCTGGTGTCCAAGGAGTTAGGAATGTCTTTTTGACCTTCGTAGCCATTTCCTATCTGGCTAACAAAGTTTTATGATAATCTGTCAAAGGTTACGTTTTCTAAATGATCAGATTTTCCCTGAAATCTCATACGCTGAAGAGAGAGCACAGGAGTGTCTGGTTTGCTATATCTCATCAGCGGTCACTGACATTATTATGGTTCACCACACGCTTGGGTTTGAGCTGGCTCCCTGATAACAACAAGAAATAAAATGGTGGTGGCGATACAAAATTGTGAATTAGTATTCTGGAAAAGTACAGCTCTTAATACCCCAAAAATCCCAGGATAAAGCTTAGCGGACGCACCTTAATCATTTCAGTGCGCTGGCACTCGGGATCACGCCCAGCCATGGGTAAGATTCTAATCCTCTGCGTCTTTGAGCATCTCTTATCAAGTGGCAGGGTCATCTTTCTGTGTGTGGCACAGTCTGTAGAGTGAGGTCTGCTGGGAGACAGGAACGTCTCGCTGTAGACTACGAACGGTGAGGGGGGATTATGTCAAGGGCACAGACAGCTGCGGACAGTGACCACTTCCCCTTCAGCAGATGAGGGAGGCCGGGTCTCGGGTCCTGGCGCTCTGAGCGTCCTCACTCTCTGCTCCCTCCCTCTGTCCCATCTCCAGGGAATGCTGGGGGGGGGAGGGGCGGGGAGTGCAAGTGGAGGAAGGAGGAGAGCAGGCAGCAAGGTCAAGGGCCTTTCCAAAGAACCACCCCCTACAACCCCCACCACCCCCCCACCCCCTCCCAGGACCATCAGAGAGGAAAGAAGGGATGGGAAATCTCAGTTCTGTGAGGGTGAGGCAGAGGCCAGAAGCTGTGATTCAAGAACTACAGAGGCATCCCTCCATCTGCAAACGACTAGAGGGAAGGTCAAGGCAAGGAGGCCTCAGGACAGCGCAGGACAGTAGCCGCTAGAATGGGAGTCCCTGGGGCAGAACACAGTACATTCCTGACTAGAAGGAGGCAGGTCTTCAGTACATCAGAAGGAAGAAAGGGAGTTCCTTAGGAGAGCACCTCTGAAACTGGAGAGAGATGGGATGTAAGGAATGCGGAACTTGGAGCACAGTGGGGAAAAAAGCGTGCCGTGGAATCGTTTGTCTCTTACACCACCATTCGAGAAAGCTCAGGAAGAGGTTGGATTTGAACAGCATTTATTATGCCAGGTCTCTGCACTGCATGACCTGTTATGTATTATTTGACTTAACTGACACACATCCCTGTGAAGTAGGTATTATCTCCATTTTATAGATAAGGAAACTAAAAATTAGTGAGAGTGTGGGGCGCCAGCCTGGCTCAGTCAGTTAAGCGTCCCACTCTTGGATTTCAGCTCAGGTCATGATATTAGGGTTGTGAGATCGAACCCCGCTTCGGGCTCGGTGCTGAGTGTGGAGCCTGCTTAAGATTCTCTCTCTCCCTCTGCTCCTCCCCGCAAGTCACACACATTTTCTCTCTCTAAAAAAATAAATAAAAATTTAAAAAATAAAAGTGAGATTGAGACTCTTCTTCAAGCTTAGACAGAAGTGAGACACAACCTCAAAGCTGTCTGTCCTTAAAAAGGCATAACAGATTTATTGAGCGTAATTTACATACCATAAAATTCAGTCATTTTAATATACAATTAAACAATTTTTTAAATTATAAAGTGCGACCATTATTACAATCTGATTTTATTTATTTATATATTTATTTATTTGAGAGAGAGAGATAAACAGAGAGAACACAAGTGGGGGTGGGGAGGAGTAGAGGGAGAGGGAGAAGCAGGCTCCCAAGGAGCAGGGAGCCCGATGCGGGACTCCATCCCAGGACCCCGGGATCATGACCTGAGCCGAAGGCAGACGCTTAACGACTGAGCCACCCTGGCGCCCTACACGCTGATTTTAGAACATTTCCATGACCTCAAAAAGAAACCTTGTGCACACTGTTAGTCCGCTAAGTGCCCCACTTTGAGGAGAGCCGCATGAAGGATAACAGCATGGTGTCCTTAGAGGGAAGGTGTGCGAAGGAGCGGAGCGAGGAGCATCCAGCGAAGAGGCTGCCGCATGGGTATGAAGCACAGGTCTGCCTGGGGTCAGGCCGCAGCCCCTCCCGTCATCTAGCCCTTTCCTCTACTGTGTGCACACGCCAATAACATGCTCATGCTCGGCCAGCCTCCCAGCTAAACTCCACTGAAGGGAAAGGACACAGGCTGGCCAAGCGGCAAAGACCAGTCTTCTAGGCCTCCTACCAGTTGCACTGACCAATGTGAAATCATTCACTGGTCTTCTGGTTTATACAGTGTCTCAGGTTGGTTTTGACAGCAGGAACTGGCTCCCTGAGAAACAGCAATTTGTAGTAAAAGTGAAAAAATAGCATGGGAACCAGACCGCATCCCTGGTGAGCTGCACCTTGAAATCATGTCAATCAGGGCTGAGTCAGGCTTTCTGCACAACTCTCTGCCTTGCTGCTTTAACTACCAGTAACAACATGTCAGGATGAACAGTTACCTAAAGGTGAGTTTGGATTTAAAGACAGCTTGTCCCTGTAGACCAGTGTCTTCTCGAACGAACAGGTGGTTGTGATTGCCCTGCATTGGGGCTTTGTAGACATCAAACACTTCACTGCCTAGATGCAGGGAAAGGCTGCAAATGAGAAAGTGTTCAGTACTGGGGCGGACATTCAACAAATCCCACAGTTTCCATTCTCCCCTATAGGCTTTACTTAAACTGCTGTGGAACTGTGTCCTGAATTCATGAGAGAAACAGAGGCACTGTAAATAAGGTATTCCCTTTTAAAGCCAAAGGTGATAAAATTCATCCTTCCTTTAACTTGAAATCTAATTGTTTTGTCATTCTCCCAATCTCTACTTCATTAGTAAGATAAAAACAATTTTTTCCCAAAATACCATTGTATACTGCCCAATAGTACCTCATGCATGTGAGCTAGCCTTAGGCTTTCCCCCGGAGAAGGCAGCTACCATGAATCTGATCACATCCTGGGCCTACTTTTAAAGTGTCCTCCCAGAGGCCTAGATTTCATTAATTCTTTAATGAAAGATGGCCCCAAAGTAAGGTCCTGCACAGAGAACCCCGTTCCTCTCAGGTACCCCTCTGGGTTTTCCAGTGCCCTCCGGGCATTATGGGCTCACCTCCCATCTGACCACTTGACCACCCGAGCATTGCTTTCCTTAATTTCATTTCCTTCCTCGTCCCGGCGTTTCCTCCATCTTATCGTATTTTCTACCTGGTTCAAAACACAAAGGCATTAGAAAACCAATGTAACTAAACTGCATGTTCTTTTTTCCTCCAGTGACTTACAATCATGTGCCAAGAATTAGTATGTAGTGGTAAAGGAAGCTCACAAAAGAACTAGCCCATCAGGCAACACTGAAACCCTCCTGCAACAAATACGTAGAGATATTGGTTAAACTAACCATTTTGTTAAAACCTTTCCTGGGCTCTAGTTCATAGCAGTGGAAGCAGAAGCGAAGTACGATGCAGGATGGAGATATTATCGCACACACTAGGAGCTCCAAAGAAGGGAGGCTGAGGCTTTGGGTCCACAGGGGTTAGGCAGTTAAAATGGAGACCTCTGCCTACTGCATGTCCACTGGAAGGGCTATGAACCCAATGAAGGAGGGACTAGTAAGCCTGACCTAGTGAGACACAGAAGCTCTGGGCATTAAGTTAAAAATAAAAAGATAAAAGAATATACAATTAAGAAATCAACAACAATTTAAACTTGAGACTTCCACTTTGCTCTGTTTTTTAGTTCAAATGTGTCCTACCCGAGTAGTAGGGAACTCCAAATCACAAAGGTAGCCTAAAAATTGGTTCTGCCCCCAGCAGAAGCTCATCCCCAACCCCAAGCAAAAAGACAACAGCCTTGTGAGAGCACAGGCATGTCCTGCCATCCCAGGCCTTCTTGAGAGGAACTGCCTGAAGACAAGGCCTCTCTTTGTGCATAGTCGGAATTCCATAAAGAGCCTGAGTGACATCTATCCTGGGAAGCTGCAAGGGTCTACCCACTATAAAATGTAGAGGCAACTCCCTATACCTAACTATATTTATCCTAAAGGAAGTAGCTAACAATTTTCAAGAATTTGTATTGTTATTTCCATTGAAAAATTACAACTCGGAGAAAAAAGTTAGAAAAGTGACAATTACAGGGATTAAAAAAAGGGTATGTAACCTCTCTCCAAAAAATATTCTGAAAAGACCTTTCAGTCCTTGTTCTAAAGTTATTTATTGACTGAAGAGTAAACATAAAAGATCATTTCATAATCTCAAGTCTCAAGTCATTATCTCTGTTTTACTTAACGAAATACTTCAAAAGAAAAAGAAAAAATCAAGTATAGAATGGTACCTTTAATCTTAACCTGGTTCGATCTTCCTCGTCAAGCATTTTCTCACCTTCAAATTCATCTTCGTAATACTGAGGATCGAAAGGTCTAAAAATTGTTTTTTAATCTCATGTTAGCCATATTGAGTAATGAATATTATTAATGCTTATAAAATAATCATCTTTACAACATGTACCAATGTTAAAAGTCACAGTAGACAAATAACTTCATGTAAAATTTCAAGAAAGTATGCAAATTAGTGTACTTTCTTGAAATTTGATTTTAAAACATTATCTGAAAAAAAATCCAAGTGTGACTAATAATTCAAAGTCTTGTTTGAAGAGATAGGTCTTCTAAAATATAAATAAGACAATGGTCTACTTTTTTTTAAAGAAAAGTATCCTGGTTAATTACACAAAAGCTTATATTCATGAACCTTCATGAAAAATACCCATCAATACTATTTTGTTGTCCAAAATCATTGTCTTTTCCAGCCATAGTGGCTTTTGCACTGAACATTTATGAATTCTCTAGCAAACTTTCTCAATCTCATTTTCTGATTTTTCAGCTTTACACTAGTGAAAAACACCTTTGTCAACTGTCATGTCTGTTATATTTATAAGTTCCAAATGCTAGAATAATCATTCACATTAAAATTCTCACACAAGGGGCCCCTGGGTGTCTGAGTCAGTTGGTTAAGCATCTGCCTTCAGCTCAGGTCATGATCCTGATGTTCCGGGATCGAGTCCCGCATCAGGCTCCCCACTCAGCAGGGAGTCTGCTTTGCCCTCTGACCCTCCCCCCTCTCATGCACTCTCTCTCTCTCTCTAATAAATAAATAAAATCTTTAGGGACACCTGGGTGGCTCAGTGGGTTAAGTGACTGCCTTCGGCTCAGGTCATGATCCTCAGGTCCTGAGGTTGAGCCCCGCATTGGGCTCCCTGCTCAACGGGGAGCCTGCTTCTCCCTCTCCTGCTCCCCCTGCTTGTGCTCGCTCTGACAAATAAATAAAATCTTAAAATAAAATGAAATCTTTAAAAATAAAATTCTCACACCAGTAACTCATCATTTTTTACCACAGCACATCCTAAACTCACTTTTCCAGAGGTATATGAGGAATCTCCTATCTTTATAATTAGCCAACTCATAATAAGAAAAACATTTACATTCCACCTATTTTAATTTAGTATCTTGAAAAAAAACTTTAATCAGTCCTCTTACTTGGGTTCTATGCTGAGAACTTTAGGTAGTTTAACAAAGTACAATTCATTTCCTAAATCAGAGTTGATACTGGGGATTTCTACTTCTATTCTGGTCTCAGAAATCGGCTCTTCCTCCTGCTGGTCCTGAGGCACTCCATGTTCATCCTAAGAGAGGAATCGGGATGTGAGAGCTTGAAGTGAAATTAAAAATGCTCTAGCTCTTCTAGAGTACTAGGAGATACAGGTGTGACCGAAAATAAATTCAGACACCGCTTTCGGAACAAAACAGTCAGCAACCCCTCCAGGCCTCTCCCTAAAATTTCAGCCTCTCCCCCAAAACTACCACCATGGGAAACAAGATCTATTAGCCTGCATTACCAGAAAAAATATTTATTTTGTCGACATATCTGGTTTGCATAAGACATTAAATGACAGAACTGTGAAAATGTACAACCCCCCAGTACTAAGTAACTATTAAAATCAGAGAAGTCAAATAGCACATGCTTTCTGGCACAGGTTTGCATTAAGAAAAACGTAAATCAGGGGCGCCTGGGTGGCTCAGTTGGTTAAGCGTCTGCTTTTGGCTCAGGTCATGACCCCAGGGTCCTAGGATTGAGTCCTGCATCTGGCTCCTTGCTCAGTGGGGAGCCTGCTTCTCCCTCTGCCTGCCCCTCCCCCTGCTTGTGTTCTCTCTCTCTCTCTGTCACACACAAATAAGTAAATAAAATCTTAAAAAAAGAAAGAAAAACTTAAATCAAGGGGTGCCTGGGTGGCTCAGTCAGTTAAGCGTCTGCCTTTGGCTCAGGTCATGACCCCAGGGTCCTGGGATTGAGCCCAGCATCTGGCTCCCTGCTCAGCAGGGAGTCTGCTTCTTCCTCTCCTCCCTGGTCATGCCCTCTCTATCTCTGTGTCTCTCAAATAAGTAAAATATTAAAAAAAAAAAGAAAAGAAAGAAAAGAGGGGGCGCCTGGGTGGCTCAGTCATTAAGCGTCTGCCTTCGGCTCAGGTCATGATCCCAGGATCCTGGGATCGAGCCCCACATCGGGCTCCCTGCTCGGCGGGAAGCCTGCTTCTCCCTCTTCCACTCCCCCTGCTTGTGTTCCTTCTCTTGCTGTGTCTCTCTCTGTCAAATAAATAAAATCTTTTTAAAAAAAGAAAAGAAAAACTTAAATCAAAGGTTTTCAAATTACAAGTCCTCACAGTTTAGCCCCTAAAGTTTGGCATCAACCTCATTTTGAGCAGTTCCTTCTGTGCCCTCAAATATCCACAGTTCCCAACATAGCTGAGAAAGTCACCCATTCCTCAGATGTTTCAGACCACTACTCAATTATCTATGTCCTCTCTCCAGAGGAGTCAGACCCTTCAGCCTTTAAAACTTTAACTTTGAACAATGGGATCCGCTGAGGTTGGTGATTGTACTTACAGCAGGCTGCCCTGGAATAGTTTGTTCACTGTCCCCATCGCTCTCTGAAGAAATGTCATCTATGTCTCCAAACAGATCCATGAAGGCTGGGAGAAACTATACAGTATTAATTTCTCTCATTGAGTTTCTTCACACAGTTCTTAGCCCTTCACTTCAACATTTTCCCAAGAGTCAGAAACCACACCTCCACTAAGCCAACCTTGAACTGCCTCCCTGAGCCTAGCCCCCTGAAGCCTGAGAAGTACCTATGGAGAAGGAAGGTGGCCAAGTTGGTTGCTGGGAGGCAAAGCTGCCATGATAGCCAGCATTCAGCATAGTTCCTGGTGGTTGCTGCCTCTGGTATTCCTGCCCCTGCAGTTTCCTCCAACACGTGTCATCGTTGGTCTATGTGATCAATAGAATACAACCTCACTTCCAAGGCTAGGCCATGACACTGTGGCTTTTCTCTCCTTAGGCCGCTTGCTCTGGAGAAGCCAGTTGCCAAGATGCAAAGACACTCAAACTGCTCTGGAGAGGCTCATGTGGCAACTAACTGAGGCCTCCTCCCAAGAGCACATGAGCGAGCCATCTTGGAAACAGATCCTTCAGACCCAGGCAAGCCTGTAGATAATGCATTCCTAGCCAACCTCTTGACTGCAGCCTCATCAAAAGACCCTGCGCCACAACTACCCTGCTAAGCCAATCGTGACCCTCAGAAATTGTGAAATATTAAATGTTAGTTGTTCTCATCTGGACTTCTCAGGAGTAGCTGAGTAGCTGGAGAAGGTGAGGGGTGGTATGCAGGTAACGTAAGATTGTTTAATCCCCTCTTACCTCCCTAAGCCTTTGGATCCCCTCCACATAACGCCAGGGAAGCAGTGAGTTTGTTGTGGCTAACCAACTCTGGGGCCATGTCCTGCTGTATGTGCTGACACATCAGATCCTGAATATGCAAGTGCACCCAAACCAGTTTGGCCCAAGCTAGTGTTACAGTCTGCCCTTCATCTCACATTCTTAAAATATATTTCCATACATATTCCCTAGGCTTCTCCCTGTATCAGCAAAACCTTCAAGTTCTTTTGGGGTATAAGCTATTTCTTCTTCAGTTGGGAGTTTGTGCTTTCTCTGTCAGAGTATAAAAAGATCCTAGTGATGGGTCGACTGGTAACAAGTGGGTCAGACAGCATGCAGCTAGCTAAGTCTTGAGGGGAATGGAAACTGCCCCAGGTGAGGTTATTAGCGTTTTCAAGCAAGGAAAGACCACTTTCCCCAGACACAGGGAAGCAAACTGCTTCTCACAGGCAAGGAAGAGTGACTAGGAAATTGAATTTTTCTGTTTCATCTGAGTCCAAACAATGTCCTTTCACATGAGAGACTTCAAGAGGCTGTGAATTCAACTAATGTTGCAATTCTGCAACCGCACAAGTGAATGTTTAATATTCAGCTACCTCCGCCCTCTGACTGCGAGATAGATTCTCTTAGGGCTGTTAGGAAAGCTCACTGGTTCTCTGACCCTGACCTGAGCTGAATGTTTAAAGACCTAAGCTTGTAATATTCTTCTTTAAGTGCTCCAGGGCACTTGGAAGTAACCACCCCACACCGTAGTCAGCGTAATCATCACTACTGCCTAACAAGCGTGGCAGCCACCTGAGCCCTCAACCAGAGGGGATAATCTGATTCATCATGCCCCCACACCGTGCATTACCAGCATCCCATTTCACTGGTGAGGAGCTCAGACATGCATTCAAACCCAAACTAACCTACAAATCACATCTTCGAGGATTTGTCTCCTGGACTACCCAGTCAGGTCCAAGTTGGGGAAGAGAAACCACACTGGCTGTCCATACATACAGAATTTAATTAAAAAAATTTTTTTACTCAGGTTTCTACCCCCTTAGAAATGAGGGACCAAATGGAAGAGGTGGAATTATTAAACTTAAAAACTTATAGTATGGAGCTGAAACTCATACCTGAGGAAGAGAAGTTTCCAGTTGGCACTGATGCCTGGGAGGGGGGGGGGGATACAATGAAGCTAACTCTCCGAACGTTGGTAAAGCTGCAAACTGGATGAGCTGCTGCAGGAAGGAACTGCCTCTGCTGAGGTGAAGGTGTTTGTGGACCCCCTTAGAAAAACTGCAAGCTGACAGGAAGTTTCCAGAAAGTTCCATGAATAAACAGGAAGGAGCAATCTCTTCTTTGATATTCAGTCTTCCAGTCTCCCTCCAGCGCCCCCTAACAGGGGGCAGCTGGCAAAGATGAAATATGCTTGCAGAATCTTGGCCCCAGCATCACTGAGCTTGGTATAAAAGGGTGGATTTGGAGATGAAAGGATAAGAGCTTAATAATGGATACACATGTCTACTAGTTAAAAAAAACAGCCAGCATGAAGGCTCTTAAAAGCCAGGCATAGGAGTTTCAACAATCTGATAAGCCAAGAAACAGCAAGAGACTGAAGGTTTTGGTGTTAGGGAAGTGGCACATTAAAAAAAAAAAAAAAAGCAAAGGGACATTGGTGATTTAGGACCTTCTTTTTCGATGTCACTTTTCTCTATAGTTAGGTTTCAGGTAAGTCTCCCACAGCTAGCACTCCCAGACTGTACCAAGAGTAGAAAGAAAGTAGGGTAGAATCCATTCATAAGGGAAAGATTAATTAGTATATGTAGAACACCACAGAAAAGACAAATGGTAAATGTGTGTAGTAAATTTAAAACATACCTGCAGGGGCGCCTGGGTGGCTCAGTCAGTTATGTGTCTGACTCTTCCTTTCGGCTCAGGTCATGATCTCAGGGTCGTGAAATCAAGCCCCGTGTCAAGCCCCCAGAGTCAGGCTCCACACTCAGCAGGGAGTCTGCTTGAGATTCTCTCTCCCTCTGCCCCTCCCCCCACTTGTGAGCACACGATCCCCACCCCCCAAATAAAGAAATCCTTAAAAAAAAATAAAACATACCTGCAACTTCTTTGCCATCCCAACCATCAAGAGGGGTCAAATTTCCCTCCCTTTGAATACAGGTATACATTAGTGACTCACTTTTAATAAATAGGTGTTGGATTTTGATGTGACTTTTCCATCCTAACCATAAAACCTCAAAAAGGTAATACAGCTTTTACCTGACTCCCTCTCTTAGAGTGCTCATCTTTGGATCCCAGCCATTATGCTGTGAGAAAGTAGGGCCAGGACTGGGATGCAAAAGTGAGACACTCACCTTGAGTGAAAAACAGAAGGGGTACCCAAATCTCTGTGATCAAGACAATGATACTGCAATACAATGTTTTTTATTTTTTTAAAAATATATTTATTTTAGAGAGAGTGCACACACAAGCAGGGAGAGGGGCAGAAGAAGAGGGAAAGAATCTCAAGCAGGCTCCAACTCCCTGCAGAGCACAGAGCCCAACGAAGGGCTGTCTCACCACCCTGATAGCATGACCTGAGCAGAAATCCAGAGTTTGCCACTTAACCGACTGAGCCACCCAGGCGCCCCAATACAATGTTTTTTAAAACTTCATGTGAAAAACCCATGAACAAAATATCAAAATTTTAAGAAAAGCAAGGATCCATCCAGCTCTGTACTTGTGCAACTCTCCTCACTTGCCTTAACCCTAATTCCAGCCATCAGATCCTGTTTACGTAAAATCCTGATATTTTGTTCATCATGGATTTTTGCATTAGTTCCAATTTTTTTTAATATATCACAATACCATTTATCTTGATTACTATAATGGGCTGAATTGGGACCCTCTCACACAAGGTTCATATATACCCAGAACTTCAGAATGTGACTTTATTTGGCAGTAGGGTCTTTGCAGATATAATTAGTCAAGATGAAGTCTCCTGAATTAGGGTTGGTCTTAAACCCACTGATTGGTGTCCTCATAAGGAGAGGAAGACCTGGAGACATAGAGAGACACAAAGCAAACAAAAGGAAATGAACCATGTGAAGACCAAGAAAAGACTGGAGTTCTGTTGCCAAAAGCCAAGGACTGCCAGGAGCCCCTAGAAGCTTGGACAAGGCAAGGCAGGATTCTTCCCTAGAGCTTTCAGAGGTAGCCTGGCCCTGCCAATACTTTGATTTAGGATTTCTAGGCTCCAGAACTGTGAGAATACATTTCTGCAGCTTTAAGCTATCCAGTTTGTGGTATTGTCTTATAGAAAACTGAAATAAGGAGAGAAGCTCTTTTTGGGACCCTTAAACTCTGCACCCCAGAGGAATGCTTCACTTGCCTGCCCTGGCCCCAACTAGGAGGCTTCTTTGTGGGGGCAGGGGAGGGGCACAGCAGCAGGAATTCAATGAAACCTAAGACTTCCTGTGACGCTATTTATACAGAATCAATTTGCTTTAGGTAAAGTAGATTTCCTGAACAGAGATTTGCTTTAAAAAATTTTTTATTACAATTAAGATTACACAAAAGCAAATCAATTCATTTCAATCAAAATAACTCATGTTTACATATTTAATAAACTGTACAAAAAATACATAAAATGTTTTCACATTGTGCTTCAATCATCATCTTCTTCCTCTTCATCACTGATCACGTACTTCTTATGCTTTTTACTTGCTTTATCATCATCTTCTGCTTTTCTCTTTCCAGAGGGTTCCCCTTCCTAAACAAATAAAATTTTAAAAATCTGAAAGTCAATAGGAAATATTTCTAGGAAGATTTATCAAAAGTAGCTCTGAACTGAACGATCCTCTGAAAACACAAAATAAAATAATTTTTAAAATAAGAACATTCACCAAATGAATAAAACCAGTGGTGAAGGTCATGGCTAGTTTCCAAATCTACAAGTACAAGAAGCATTAAAAAAATGACAACTATCTAGAGCTAATTATAAACTAACTATAAAACAACCCAACTTCAGGACTGCAAGGAAGAGCTAGGAAATTATAAGCAATCTCTTGGAAGGGAGACCTTGTACATGGAGAAGGGCATACAGGAAACTGGAAACTGGGTCCGCCCTGGGAAGGGTCAGGGCTCTCCAAAGAAGTCTGCCTGTTATAACCACTGATCCTGTGAATATTTTTACTGTGATCAGGTGGCTGATTAAACTTTTCCTCTGCTTCCTCAGCATTTCACCTCTTATCTAAAATTCAGTATTTTAAGGGCGCCTTGATGGCTCAGTCGGTTAAGGGTCTGCCTTCAGCTCAGGTCATGATCCCAGGGTCCTGGGATCAAGCCCCACATCGGGCTCCCTGATCAGTGGGGAGTCTGCTTCTCCCTCTGCCCCTCCCCCCTGCTCATGCGCGCGCTCTCTCTCTCATAAATAAAAAAAATAATAAAATTCAGTATTTTAAAGACCATTAATTTTTTAAAATAATGATTTCCTATTTTGGATATACTAAAAACTCACATCATAAAGGTTTCAAAAATATTTGAAGAAGTTAAAGGTTTATTACACAAGTCCACATTACTTAAAATCATGTACAATATTCTAACAGAAACAATTGTTTTGAACTTTTACAGATAGAACTCAATATATCAACACCTAAGTAATATCAAATATTGACTAAAATGAATTGATACAAAATATGACACGGCAGAATTGCCTTCCCTGGCTTCCTCACCAAAAATTAAACAGGGTGGATCATCTGAAGGCTGAAACTGGGGAAGGCCAGGCAGCTCTCGCTATGACCCGAGAATGTTTCCGGATGTACAAGCTGGTCTATCATCTACTTTTTCTGATGGTCCCTATGGCTGGCTCTCGGAGGAGCAAGATACCATCCCACACTTGCTTCCTGCCTTATTATCCCAAACGCAA